CCAGCCCTGGGCTTTGTTGTTGTTGGGAGGTTTTTGATGACAGCTTCTTTTTTCTCATGGCTTTTAGGTCTATTCTGCTATATGGTATTTATCTAAAAAAACTGTCCATTTCTTTTACATTTTCCAATTTTGTGGAGTACAGGTTTGTGTAGTAAGACCTAATGATTCTCTGAATTTCCTCAGTGTCTGTTGTTATGCCCCCCCTTTCATTTCTGATTTTGTTAATTTGGATATTCTCTCTTTGTCATTTGATTAGTTTGGATAAGGGTTTGTCAATCTTGTTGTTTTTCTCAAAGTACCAGTGCTTTGTTTCATTGATTCTTTGTATTGTTTTCTGTGTTTCTTATTTGTTGATTTCAGCCCTCAGTTTGATTATTTCCTGTCTTCTACTCTCCTGGGTGAATCTGCTTCTTTTTTATTTCTAGAGCTTTCAGGTGTGCTGTTAAGTCACTAATGTGAGCTTTCTCCATTTTCTTTATGTGGGCACTTAGTGCTATGAACTTTCGTCTTAGCACTGCTTTCATAGTGTCCCATAGGTGTCCCTCCCCAATTCCCTCAGCTTTTCTAGCCAGCCAGCAGGGAGTATTCCTGTAGCTGGGCTTTATCCCAACCTACCCGGCCCTCACACTTGCCTGTTTGCCTGTGAGGACAGTGGAACCCTGGAACACAGATTGCTCCAATACTGAGGGGAGCTGGGAGGTAAGTCAACAGTCACAGGGCTAGACAGCTGGACACCCCGCTCTCTGGGACCTCCCCAGTGGGACAAAACTCAGGGGCCCATCCCTAACTCCCTTGGCTTTTTTAGCCATCCAGCAGGGAGTATTCCTGTGGCTGGACTGTCCTCCAACCCATCTTGCCCCCACACCCGCCTTTTCACTTGAAAGCTCAGTGGAACCCTTGAATGCAGATTGCTCCAATACTGAGGGGACCTGGGAGTTTGCCCCAATCCTGAGGGGACCTAAGAGACAGCCACAGCAAGGATTGGACCAAGACACCAAGACGCTGCCAGCCTCATTTGGAGGAAGAGATGGGTAGGCCCCAATGCTAGAATTCCTCCAACATCCTAAAAAGCAACATGGTAACACCAGAAACCAGTGGAGACACAAAAGGAAGACTTGATTATCCTAACCCAGAAGAAGTAGAAGAAAACAACTTTAAATGTAACTTTATGAAAATGATGGAGACCTTTAAAGAGGAAGTGAAAAGCTCCCTTAAAGAAATGGAAGAGAAGCAAACAAAAAGTTGGAAGAAATTAATAAATCCCTCAAAAAAAACTAAGAAAATCAAGAAAAAACAAATCAAACAGGTGAAGGAAACAGTTCAAGACTTGAAGAATGAAATAGAGGTAATAAACACAAACCAAAGGAATTCTGGATATGAAAAATGTGGGTAAATGAACAGGAACTATAGAGATGAGTATAACCAACAGAATAAAAGAGATGGAAGAAAAAATCTCAGGTGCTGAAGATACTATAGAGGATATACACTAATTGGTTAAAGAAAACATTAAATCCAACAAATTATTAACACAAAACATCCAGGAAATCTGAGACACCATGAAAAGACCAAACCTAAGAATTATAAAAGTAGAAGAAGGAGAAGAACTCAAGCTCAAAGGCATAGAAAATACATTCAACAAAATTACAGAAGAAAACTTTCCCAACCTAAAGAAGGATATCCCTATAAAGGTACAAGAAGCTTACAGAACACCAAATAGACTGGATCTTAAAAAAATCCCCTTACCATATAATAATCAAAACACAAAACATACAGAACAAAGAAAGAATATTAAGAGCTGCAAAGGATAAAGGTCAAGTAACATATAAAGGTAAACCTATCAGAATTACACCTGACTTCTAATAGAAACCATGAAATCCAGAAGGTCCTGGATAGATGTACTGCAGACACTAAGTTGCAAGCCCAGACTACTATTCCCAGCATACCTTTCTTTCACCATCAATGGAGAAAACAAGATATTCCATGACAAAAAATGGATTTAAATGATACTTATCTACAAGCCCAGCCTTACAGAAAGTACTAGAAGAAAACCTCAAGGAAGCTAACTACACCCACAATAACACAGACATCTGATAACCAGCAAAACCCAAAGAAGAAAAATACACAAACACTACTACTGAATAATAACCAGAGTTAGCAACCACTGGTCATTAATATCGCTTAGTATCATTGGACTCAATTTACCTATAAAAAGACACAGGCTAAGAGAATGGATACAAAAACAGGGGGGCTGGAGAGATGGCTCAGTGGTTAAGAGCATTGCCTGCTCTTCCAAAGGTCCTGAGTTCAATTCCCAGCAACCACATGGTGGCTCACAACAATCTGTAAAGATGTCTGGCGCCCTCATCTGGCCTTCAGGCATACAGACAGAATATTGTATACATAATAAATAAATAAATATTTTAAAAAAAAAAACCAAAAAAAAAAAAAACAAATCAGAATCCAGCCTTCTGCTGTTTACAAGAAACACACCACCGGGTGGTGGTGGCACACGCCTTTAATCCCAGCACTCGGGAGGCAGAGGCAGGCAGATCTCTATGAGTTCAAGACCAGCCTGGTCTACAAGAGCTAGTTCCAGGACAGGCTCCAAAACCACAGAGAAACCCTGTCTCGAAAAACCAAAAAAAAAAAAAAAAAGAAAGAAAGAAACACACCCCAACCTCCAAGACAGACATTACTTCAGAGTAAAGGGTTGGGAACAGGTTTTCCAATCAAATGAACCTAAGAAACAAGCAGGTGTAGCTATCCTAATATCTAACAAAATAGACTTCAAAGTATAATCAATCAGAAGAGATGGAGGACACTTATACTCATGACAGGAACAATTCGTCAGTATGAAGTCTCAATCCCGAATAGCTATGCCCCTAATACAAGTGCACCCTCATATGTAAAAGAAACATTCCTAAAAGTTAAAATGCACACCAAAGCCCACACACTAATAGTAGGGGAGTTCAATATTCCTTTCTCACCAACGAACAGGTCAACAAGACAAAAATTTAACAAAGAAATTAGAGAACAGATGTCATGACTCCAATGGACTTAACAGATATCTATAGAACATTCCATCCAAACAAAAAAGAATAAACCTTCTTCTCAGCACTCATGGAACCTTCTCTAAAATTGATCACATACTTGGTAACAAAGCAAACATCCATAGATACAAAAAAATTGGAGTAACCCCCTGTGTCTTATCGGATCACCATGGACTAAAGCTAGAATTTAACAATACTTCTCCCAAAAAGCCCACAAACTCATGGAAACTGAACTCTCAACTACTGAACCATCCTTGGTTCAAGAAAGAAATAAAGAAAGAAATTAAAGTTTTTCTTGAATTCAACAAAAAGAAGGCACAAGATTTCCAAAGTAGCTATATAAGTTTTTCACTCCAACTGGCAGGGAAGGAGTGCTCCCCTTACTCCACATCCTCTCCAACATAAACTATCAATTGGTGTTTTTATTTTGACTTTAGCCATTTTAACTGGTGTAGAATAGTATCTCAGAGTTGCTTTGCCTAAGGATGTTGAGCATTTCCTTAACTGTCTTTCACCCATTTGAGATTCTCCTATTAAAAATTCTCTGTTTAGATTTGCACACCATTTTTAATTGGATTATTTTGTAATTTTATGTCTAAATCTTGAGTTCTTTACATTTTTGGAGATCACCTCTATGTCAGATGTGGCATTGGTGAAGATATTTTCCCATTGAGTAAGCTGTCATTAAGTCTTATTGAGTGTGTCCTTTGCCTTGCAGAAGCTTCTCGATTTCAGAAGGTCCCATTTATTTATTGTTGCATTCATTGTCTGTGCTACTGGTATTATATTTAGGAAGTGGTCTCCTGTGTCCATATGTTCAAGGCTACTTTCTACTTTATCTTCTATCAGGTTCAGTGTGGCTGGATTTATATCGAGGTGTTTAATCCATTTGAACGTGAACTTTGTGTGTGGGGATAGATATGGGTCTGTTTGCATTATTCTACATGATGACATCCAGTTATGCAAGGACCATTTGTTATAGATGCTTTGCTTTTTCCTTTGTACCATCATTTGTTGAACTTGCTTTCTTTTTTCCATTGTGCAATTTTAGCATCTTTGTAAAAAATCAGGTGTCCACAGGTGTATGGATTAATATCAGGGTCTTTGATTTGTTACCGTTGGTCTGCCTGTCTGTTTTTATGCCAATATCAAGCTGTTTTCATTACTTTAGCTTTATAATAGAGCTTGATGTCAGGGATGGAGATGCCTCTGGAAGCTCCTTTATTGTACAGGATTGTTTTGGCTATACTTTTTTATTTTATTTTTCCATATGAAGTTGATTGTTGACCTTTCAAGGTCTGTGAAGAATTGTGTTGGGATTTTGATGGGAATTGCATTGAATCTATAAATTGATTTTGGTAGGTTTGCCATTTTTATTATGTTGATCCTACCTATCCAAGATCACGGGAGATCTTTCCATTTTCTGGTGTCTTCTTCAATTTCGTTCTTCAAAGACTTAAAGTTCTTGTCATACAGGTTTTTCACTTTTTTTCATTAGTTCAGACATCATTTTATTTCATCTATCAATTGTATTTTAAGTTTTGGAATCGTATTTTGCTTTTATTTCCTTCAAATTCTCAGAAAAAAGTTAAGGTTTTTTTTTTATTTGAAGAATAGAGATTGCCATACTTTACAAATGTCATCAATATATTATTAAAATTCTATAACTTTAATTCTTACAACCTCTCAGGATTACTTGACTGTACTATCTTCATTTACTGAAGATGAACCGAGGCATAGAAAAGGTTGAGACTTAGCTGGAACCAGGAATCCTGGCTGCAGAGCCATTAGGACTGAACACAGCCATGCCTCCACATGCTGCTGTTTATTCTGGTACATTCATAGTCTTCATCCCCATTCCCTTCTTACCACATGGATAACCAAATCTCCTTACTGATTAACTGTGGTATGTTCTCGTCTGTCTGTTTCCAAGAACGTACCTGAGCCGCCATGGTTGTAGCTAGCAGGAAGGTGAGCATTGTTTCTGGAGTTGGTAAAACAGAGAGAGCATTGCCATGGAGCCAGACAAGGTCCATCTGCAGAAGAACTTCCCAGATCCTGAAAAGGAACCAAACATGTGTGCACACTCAAAAACTTTGAGTTTTAAAACTAATTACCCTTGATTGATTAAGATTTTCTATTCGGACCCTCCTTCTTCATGTTTTCTGTGTCAGTTAGAATGGAGTTGACGGGGTGTGTTTGTGATCTAAGCGTCAGGTGATTTGGAAGCATCTTTTATTTGACTCTGGAAAGCATCTGTGCAGCTTGCAATCTCACTCTACTGTAAGGTATTGTAGTCATCCTTTGACAAGAATCATTTCCGGGAGAGTTTAAGAAAAACAGTGAGTCAAGCTGGAGGATTGTATAGGAGCCATTGAATGAAGAGGAATTTGCCACATGGCATTTCGAGAACATGTTTTATTTTTATTTTTTATTTTATTTTTTGCGATTTGAAATGAATAGCACCCAAGTTGATAAAGGAAACACAGTTCTAAAAAAAACTTGATCAATGGTGTCTAAGTCAAAGAAAACATTGGAACAGTCTTTGCATAGCAAACTACAAGAGACTATGGTTGTTGAATTTGCACAGGAAACAAAGTTTAAATGTGTAAAGAACTGAAATTCCAGTTGAACATGGCAGATGAAGGCACGAGGTTCTTCCTTCCTTCCTTCCTTCCTTCCTTTCTTTTTTCTTTCTTTCTTTCTTTCTTTCTTTCCACTTTCTATAAAAAATATAGACATTGGGGAGATGGCTCAATGACCAAAGTGCTTGCTGACCCAGCCCTATAACCCATGTAAAAATCCATGTGATGATATACAATACCAGTCCTGGGGCTCACTGGCCAAACAATGTAGTAAAAATGATGAGCTTCCGGTTCAGTGATCAAAATTAAAATGGAAAGACATCCCAATGTCAAACTCTGGCTTCAGTATGCACTCACAAAAGTGAACACACCTCTACAAATGTCTATACTATGTGTTCATGCATGCACACAAACATACTTCCATAAGACACACCTACATCACACACATCTTTTTATTACACATGTAAACCCTTCCTACACCACAAACACCCTTATACCACACACCCCTATACTACACACACATATACACACATCTCTACATCACACACACTCTTACACTGTACAAACACCTATACCACACACAACCTACATCATACATACTCATATTCCCCCAATATTCCTATATCACAGATACTACAGATACACACATGTACATACATAACCCTACAACACACATCCCTGATATAGGTATGAATAATTTGCATTAGTATAGATTTTGCTTTATTGATAGAGATTTAAGGTCAATTTTGTTATATATTTATAAGTGTTTCTGATTTTGATTAAGGTATTGTGATTGTGTAGTTCATTTAAATATGTACTGTATAATTAAGAAATATAGGTTGTTAATGGATAATCATCGATAATAGTAAAGCTTGTAGTCATGTTAGTTAATATTTTCTAGATGTGCGTAGATATATTTTAGATAGACATTCTTCATGTCTTTCAAAGATTACAGAATAGGACATTTAATGTTTTAATAACTGAGGACATTTCATGACAATGAGACACTCTGCTCCTGGCAGCACCAATCTACTTCAAGAGGAAGATGGGCATCGAAGAGGCACCTTATGGAGTTTGATAGCCATTTGGGCAAGAAACTGCTCTTGCCTGGACTATTGCATAAACTGGACACAGAGAACCCACAGAGAGAGAAGAGGAAAGTGGCTGCTTTTTTAAAGGGAGAGAGACCACGCCCCAATGGGCTGGTATCTCAGCAGCTATAGGTTGGAGGAGCGGGAGGACCTCCCACAACACATCCCTATTACCATAAACACAACATACATGCAATGACAAGGAAACACATTCACACATCTATGCACACACACACACACACACACACACACACACTCCTCCCCTCACACCTTCCATCACACCATCCCAGGCCTGTTTGTACTAGTTCCTTTTAACTTGTTCTACTGTTAAGAAAAAAAATTAAGACATATTAACACGTAAAAGACAGAAAACAATGACTAAACACATAGTTTTTTTTTTAATTTATTTATTTATTAAGGATTTATGCCTCGTCCCCACAACCGCTTCCCATTTCCCTCCCCCTCCCCCGATCAAGTCCCCCTCCCTCATCTGCTCGAAGAGCAATCAGGGTTCCCTGACCTGTGGGAAGCCCAAGGACTGCCCACCTCTATCCAGGTCTCGTAAGGTGAGCATTCAAACTGCCTAGGCTCCCACAAAGCCAGTACGTGCAGTAGGATCAAAAACCCACTGCAATTGTTCTTGAATTCTCAGTATTCCTCATTGTCCGCTATGTTCAGCTAGTCCGGATTTATCCCATGCTTTTTCAGACCTAGGCCAGCTGGCCTTGGTGAGATCCCAATAGAACATCCCCATTGTCTTAGTGTGTGGGTGCACCCCTCGTGGTCCTGAGTTCCTTGCTCGTGCTCCGTCTCCTTCTGCTCCTGATTTGGACCTTGAGATTTCTGTCCGGTGCTCCCGTGTGGGTCTCTGTCTCTGTCTCCTTTCATCGCCTGATGAAGGTTAATATTCCTGAGGATGCCTATGTAAACACATAGTTTTAAGAGACACAGCAAGTTTTAAGAGACACAGCAAGTGTCAGCAGTCAAGAAGAGCCAGCTCCTAGACTGCTCAGGAGTTGGTGCACTAAGATTTTCTATCTGAGGGGCTTGGAGAAAGCAAGACCCTCACTCCTATTCTGATGGTTTCTCTTTATTTACTCATGTTGAATTCCAGTTCTTCTTTTTCTTCACAGCTTTTAATACCCACAAAATCTTTCAGGCATTACATTTGAAAGTCACATTCCATTTCTTAAGTAAATGATAAAAACAGAGTCATCTTGACAACGCACATGAAATAAATCTAAATAACTTGTCACAGAGCAAGGAAGGAACATTTTTTCCTTAGTCAACTCCCTAATTGGTGGGCTGTAACTTGCAGCTACAAAGAAAGAACCAGTCATTTTATTATCTTATCTAGAGAGGTAGTCCCGATAAACGATTTCAAAAGAGCTTTAAAATTAAACTTCTGAACAGTCTAAGAAAAATAAGGAAATTGTGTACTATCTTCTATGCTTCTGAGTGTAAAAACATTTTAAACTAACATTTTGTGGTTATTGGTCATAATATTGGTCTCACTTGGACTGAGAGTACCCTATTTGGTGTGTCATAAATTCTTTAGCTTGAGCTCAGGGTCCTGAAAATTGCTTAGTATCAATTTCTTCAGCATTTCCCAAGTCAGCGCTTTAAATCTCAAAATATAATTTCTGCCCTGTGTGTAACTGTTGACTATGAAAACAAACAAACAAAATCTTGTAACTCTGTCTTGGGGTTATGAAGCCAGATTAATTGTCACTCTGGTCAGTTAGAAAATATTTCCCTGTAGTGTATCTGAACAAAACTAATTTTGTCTCTAGACTGTGGATAATTGCTCCCTGTCACCAATGAACTTTCATAAAAATATAAAAAACAGTTTATTGATTGAACTTTGAGTGTTCAGATTACATACCTGTATCATAAAACTGAGGTTAGGAATTTGTGCAGAGAGTTAATCACTGTCTGTCCTAGGTTATCATCCAGACCTTTCAAAAGAACCTGGTATAGCAATTAGGTTGCTTAGCCAGGCACCTGGTCTAATCTAAAGCTACCTTGAAGCTTTATATCAGCTAATAGTGTACAGCTCTCTTAGCAGATGGGGAAATTCAACTTTTTTCCAATGTCAGACTGAGCTGTGATCTACAATGGGTTCTAGGGGGAGCTTATAATCCCTGACTTGTATACCATTTTATTCTATTTATTTTTATGTATCAAAACTCTGTATAAACTAATATTATTGATATCAATTAGAGAATACAGCTTAAGGGGGAGGCCCCTTCTAGACAATCCAGAAATAAAAATGCCCAGTAGATCAGGATGTAATATGAGATAAACACACTATCATAAGGCAGGGGGGATTCCACATAGCAACCAGGGAAAATCACAGAAGCACAAGTGAAGTTACAGACAGAAGCAAACAATACTGGAGTCTTTAGCCTTAATGAGGTTTCCTATCAGAAAGTTTCCTCCTAGTGGGCGGACACCTTGAATATCAATTGCCATCTGCTGTTCTTATGTCATGGCTTCCAGCATGCCAGGCAATAATTCAAGACAACAGGGTCAATATACTAATTCCAAGGGATAGAACAGAACAGAGACTCATGCACACAGAAAAAGAGCTGGAACTTCTAAGAGCTCCCTCCTGCAGAGCTAGAAAATGTACCAGAAAATGAAAATAACCTTGACTAGCTTTTTAGTAGACTGGATTCAACTGGAAAGAGATTGTAATTGTAGGGTATACCAATAAAAAATATTCAAAACTAAGAAGCAATAGGTAAAGACTAAACAGCAGGATGGAGTCATGACAGATTGAGTGGCACAAAGAGACCCACACGCTGGCCCTGGCGGTCTGCCTGGTCTCTGAGGAGGAAACACGACCTCCTGGTGCCTTAAGGTGCCTGACAAGATGGGTACAACAATGGTGAGCAAATATATAGTGTGGTATAGGAGAGAGAGAGGGAGAGACAGAATGGTCCATGTCCTTTGAACAGAGGCAGATCTGGAGAGGTGAAAGTGGAGAGGTATGGGCTGAGATCGGTGCCTTCATTGCCAGCCAGGGTCATGGTGATGTCTGCTGTTGCTGTCATGGCTGATGCTGGGGCCCATGTCTGTGTTCATGGATTTGATGGAGCGGGAGCCTGGGTTGATGTTCCTGGCCCCTGATACCACTGGAGGCTGAGAGGATACAGAATTGGCCCCGCACTCTCACTGGCTGCAACACCAGGGAGAACTGGTCCTGCCCCTTACCATACACAGCACTCAGGAGAGAGGATTTACACCTCACCTTGGCAACACAGTAGAGCTGATTCTGTTTTCAGGGGCA